GGGTAAATTTTAACGTTTACATATGTTTAGATCATTACCGTCTTAAGCTTGTTTAAAAGTAACCATTTTTTTCATATGTTGAGTTTTTATTAAACTTAGATGCTCATTACCATTGTATGGATAAAATATCATATAGCTTCTAGCTATTGACGTTGCTGACTCCGCGAAACTAACACCTGGCTATGTAAACCAGAATATTCCTTGTACCTTGGAATGAAATGGGATTGTATTGCTATCTTAACCGTTGGACAATTACGTAACCTTGGTACATGTAGGTCGTATGTTTAAATTATAAAAATTTTATTACTGTATACGTCTCAGTTTCGTAGTTTTCCTAGAAACTAGCTGTAAGATTTACCTATAGTACCTATGTAACTATCGTACCACGAATGAACTCAATGTTATCTATTAATTTATTTACACATCGTGCCCTTTCATTTGATACCCCACTTGGGAATATATGAAAGTATTCAATTGTTTTCCCAATATCATGATCGATGTCTTCAAAACATCTATACTTATTTTGAAGAAATATTACTAAAAACTACCACTGGTAAAACAGCTTTAAAATAGAGCAATCCGCATCTACATCTATGCGTCGGTTTAATGAAATTAAACCCCTTTGAGATACGTGTCATCATCACTGCTAGCTTCTATTCGATTTCCCGAGAATCGTTCCATGAAGTCCAGACTAGTGACAAAGGGACTCCTTAAGACAATGCTCATTCGATTAAAAATATAGATATGAAAATTGGCCCATAGTTGAAAGAGTAATAACAAACATAAACTCGAAATCATAACTTTCCATGTTTTTAAAGTAGGTTCAAAAATCCCATTAGTTACTCTTTATGACATTGCCTTCTTACGAGTGAAGCTCCTTTGAAAGTCGATCTAGTCAATACAAAGGTTAGGCAGAAAAAAAAACAAAAATGTTAAACTTCTTTTTATTTTATAGCTACGTTTAGTATTAACTTTCATATGAGTTGAGTAATATTGCTATAAATTAGAGATTATAAACTTATTCTTCTATTTTATTTATTTGTATACATAAATACATCTTTGTATTCCATAGCAGTGAGGAGACGAAATAAATATCCTGGGATTGGGACCCATACACGTATTTCAGGGATTCTATTTGAAATATGCACACATACATATATTCAAATTTATTTATTGATTTAGAATTTTATTGTAGACAGTTTATTATTTCTGACTATTTCAGATGAAAAAGTTGGGATTGCTAACTATCAAAAGTCTAAGCAAATATAATATTATATTATCACTGTGCGTAGAGATTATTGTACGTATATATAAGTTTAAAAAATATAATACCAATAATATTTTTTGGATTTTACTTCGCGTTTTATTTTTGATTAGAAAACTACATACATACTCCCGACGTTTCGGCTACTTTTCAGTAACCGTGATCACGGGCAGACGAGATGTGATCACGGTGATCACATCTCGTCACGTCTCTCGACGTGATCACGGTTACTGAAAAGTAGCCGAAACGTCGGGAGTATGTATGTAGTTTTCTAATCAAAAATAAAACGCGAATTAAAATCCGAAAAATATTAGTTTCATTTCAATTATTAGTATAATCTTAAACAATTTAATTGCAGTCTTTTAATATAGGACTTCTATAAAAAATATGATTAAGAATATTTTCTTAAGCTGATAATATTTAATCAAACGTATTATACGTACTTTACGTATCTACATTAATTTCCTATAAATAAACCTAATTACAACTCTCATGACTTTTGCGATACGTAAAAGTTTAAGAACTAGAGACAGTTAATTATTATTACAAGAATAAAACGAAATGCAACATTTGTTTATTCATCAAAAATTTGTTATCTACAAACGAATACGACAATTTTCTGCAGAAAATTTCGAAACCCATTTCCTATATAAATAATGACAGCAGTTTCTCTTCCGTTAATTTATTTAAAAAAATTCCAATTAAGCAACCTAAAGATATTTAAACAAGGCTTTAGTAGCTTTTACAATTTATATTTCTCCTTTGCATAAATAAATGTTTTATATAAATAACATTAACTTTTTCGCTACTTGGCATGACTCTTTTTTTCTTGGATCCCTGATTACGGTGTAGTCCCCAAATAACATTATAAATTTGAAAGTCACTAATGCTTTTATTTTCTAGAATAATTTAGATACAACAAACCCATATTTAAATTAACTCTATCCAAAAAAAGATTATCTAATAATTTGTAACAAAAAAGAAAGTCACAAACACCAAACTTATAACAACTTTAATGTATGCACGTATTGGAGTATACGAGAAAATATAGAAGCATTTAAGTAAATAACCAGTAGTTATATGTGTTTATAGGTTTTGTAAGAGACTTAACTTACATCAATTTTTTTAATATTTTGTTATCTTTTGTAGTTGTATATAAACCGGCTAATATTTTTGAATATATGTATATAAAAATCATACAAGCAAATAAAGTAACGCTGATTCCCATGAACTTTACATATCAATATTATATATACTTTCCTTTGAAGATAACTGTTTTTTTATAAAATAATCAAATAAGATACCAGAATATATCAAAGTATATATTGTCATAATACTCATAAGAAATATATAGTGTATTTAAAAATTATTGAAGTAATATCAATGGATTTTGTAGTCATAACTATGTAAATGGGAAATTATGCCAATTAAGATATAACAAATTGAAAAGGAATCTGCTAATACAGAATAATCGAAATTGCTTTTGTTCTCCCACTTACGTTTTGGAGTTCTTCAAGGGAAAAGTGAAAAACTACAACTGACATCTTATCTAGATGTCAGTTGTAGTTTTTCACTTTTATCATCCTACCATCATACTAAAAAAAATATCACTAAAACGTTTAAATTAATATTGTTATTAACTAGAAAAATATTACGGCACATTAAAACCAAATTATATTCTAGAATTTTGATTATGAACTATCATGATGTTTCGACTATAACTAAACGTATATAATCGATTATTATCATTACACAAAGAATGTAGATTATATCATGTTCCTTAAATGAAAATTATACCAGATACATTTATACAAAAAATGAATGCTTTGTTTTATCCTTAAGGTTATGAATGCGATAGATAATATGTAATTCTTTCAGCTTTACAGCATGAAAAGTCAATTTGCATGTCATAGAAGCCCCTCTACATAACTGTAAAGCTCATTAAAACATATTTTGTAGATCAACTTGAGTATTATTATTCGAATTGTTGTTAGAAAACATATTAGCCATAAGGTAAACAGAGATGTTAATGAAAAGATTTCATATAATACTATTGTATTTATTCTTGATACCAAAAACCTTTTCAATTAATACCAATAAATCTCTTTAAGCCTAGAGAGGCTAAGTCAAGAGTGACTTACTTCATGATTTTAAAAAATATACAGGAATGAAAAGGTTCTTTTATATAATGTTATAAACGATGAAATCTCTCTTAATATACAAGATTGAGAGGATCGCGCAAGTTTGTAAATCTACATTGTTTGTCGACACTTCGTTGCCATAAAATTTTAAGTTTTCATGAAACTAAGTTGCTTTGCTTGTCACAATTTGCTAACATTATTTTACTATTATAACTTTAAAGTTTTGTGGCGTAAATGAGCTATTTCAATAAAGTCATAAAGAGTAGGAAAATGAGAATCATCATCATCATCATCAGCCAAAAGACGTCCACTGCAGGACATAGGCCTCCCCCAAGGGAAAAAATGAGAATATATTGTCATAATAGGGAAAATAATGTAAAGAAAAAATGCAAGATTACATTTTTATTCTTTAATCTACATTACTTTGAACAAAAAAACAAAAAACTTTTTAATACAAAATATAATAAAAATGCTTTCAAATATAAAGAGGATTACATTATTTGGTTAAAATTCGGCAGGGATACAAAAGTAATACCAAAATAAGCCATGAAACATAAACAAATTTACAAATTAAAATTATTTACTTTAATATTTACAACTTGCAAAATTTTGGAGTTCTTTGAGTAAGAAAAGTTTCTTAGCAAAATCATTTTGTTTATGATCCTTTTTAAAACATATATTCTTGTATACAATGTAATTATTTCGATCTGACCTTTCAGTGAGAGAAACTATCTATTAGCGAAATAAAGCTTCTTATTTAGTGAGCATCACAAAAATATACTCATCATTACCCCACAGTAGAAAACTAATAAGCATTATATTAAATTACTCATTGAAAATTACATAGTTGTAATTAAGAATTAACGTTACAATGAAAGCTTAATTGATACAACTAGAATTTATATGCTAAATTTACTGTATAAATTACAATGACAACAACTCTCTTCGATACACTCAGTAAAATTATACTTAATTAAATTACCTTTAAAATACACACAATTTCTATTTATATACCTACACAATATGGTCTACAAAAACATTTTTTCATCCTTTACTTTAAAATATGCCTACCAGGTAAATGAGATCAAACATCGAAATCCCTACTGAGACTTTTATAAGAACATACTTTATTTTAAGTTAATATTATACGAGACACTTCCTTTGTTTTACAACATTATTATTCTTAGAAGATAAGAGTACCGTCAGCAATAGAGTTATATCTTCCTATCACCTATATCTATGTTTCCAAACAAGACAATACCTTCTCAATGAGAAAAGATACGGAATATATCGTAAAGAATATTTACAAAATTTATCCTCATATTTTTACTGATTAACATAAATGAATATTATTAATTAGAAATTAGCATATTATTCGATTAATGAAAATGTATTAAAGATTGACTTTCAATAATTTTATGTGTGTTATCTCTTAAAGCACAACTTTATTTTTGTAAACTTTAAGAAAATATACAAAGTTTATAAGAAGTATCAGCTATACTAAACGGCTTATTTAACCTTAAACTAAATACACGGCTTATGACTTAATATAAAAAATACTCTATCACAAATTGTCCACTTTTCATAGAAACTGTTCACAAACCATGGATATGTTCGGAATTCTTCCTCACGGGACCGAAGTTTTTGCACTGTAACAAAAAATATACTGTTTATAACCTTCAGCTGTTTTGTATCCCCTGTTACTTAATATGAAACATTTATGAAAGTAATTCTTTTGCGTAATTATTATTGAAACTGTAAAAAAATTCATGAAAGTTCACTTAAAATATTTGCAATTGTGGTTGGAATTCAACATAAATTAAACAATTATAAGGAATAACATGAATGCTATTTATGTAATTTATATTCTTTTTTATTTCTTTTCCACGATAACATTTACTTCCGACTCTCCTACAATTTAGATAAAAGAAACATGACGTAATAGAAAAAAAGTAATGAACCGACTTATCACACGAAAAAACTATCGATTTATAATTATTATATATCAACATTATGTGAAAATACTAAATTATTGACAAGGTTCAACAACCTTTAAATTGAAAATCGATATAATTTAAACCGAATCAATAAATAAATCTTGATACAAAAATGTGATAATAAAAATTATTTAGAAGTGTTATAACCAGCTCGCTAATGAAAAAACATACGTTGCTGTCGTAAAACTTCCAGAAGCAAACAATTATCATTAAAATAAGAAAATCTTAATGTTTCTAGAATTATTTTCATCATAAGTTACTATTGTTTCATTATTAATTAAATGCAATTTTCATTTTATTGAAATTACGTTTTTCGTTCTTTCACACTTTTCTTTCTTTACTGTTAGATATTTTGGTCGTAATATCTCCATTTCAAGTTAAACCCTTATATTATATTTAAAATTTCATAATAAAATAAATAAATTTCAGTGAGCAAAATAACACATAAAATATGTAAAAGTTACTAATGAAAGCAATGGGTGTCATTCGCAAGGTTAGGCTCTATGCAAACTTTAGCAGGCAAAGATGTGTTACAACTAGCGAGAAGTATAAGAATTAGTAAGAACAGTTTATATGTATCACTTTGAAACAAACGGATATTTTCAAATAAAACAATTCACATTATTCGGAGTTATATAAATTTTAAACACAAAAAAGAATAAGAAAGATATTTAGATATTTATCAATCAATTAGTGAAAAAAAGTTATAGGTTTTGCATCATATAAGTTATCAAAAGATTACAGAGCAATATTATAAAATACACTTTAATTTATTTTAAGAATAAGATTAAATTTAGTTACACTAAATAATGCACGGAAAAATTAACAAGATTTTTCAGTAAAAAAATGTTTTACAAATTTAACACAATGCATTTTATGTATAATTACTTCTTGTCTGAATTATTTTGAGTCTTCATATAATGGAACAAAAGTTGATTTCCATAAAAAAACAGCCTTAATAGGTCTAAAGGATCTGAGGGACTAAATCACTTGTACAATAAAATTTCACATAGCGATTGTTCTCGTACATTTTAATTATAGAAATGTAAGGGATGTAAACTTTACTGCGATGTATTCAAATAACAGTAAGAATAACATCCCTGAATATTTGAGATAAATAGACAAACGACGAAAGTAACAAATTTATATTTACCTAAAAATTCATTCAAGTCATTCTACTTAGTAAAAACTTAATTTCACAGAAAAATTTAAATGTCTAGAATCTATAATTTAAAAAATATTTTATATTTAACTCCAAACTTTTAAAATAACACATCTGATTTTTTCCCATCGTTACGGAGACCGTAGTATGTTTTATTATAAAAATAGATATGTATCTATAAACTTTTGTTATAGTTTTATATATTATTTCTACAATATAATACAAAAAATATATTTTACTAAAAACGATTACTTTTGCAATTTAAATGGCTAAGAAACGAAATATGAATATTTATTTTCTTGACAAAATATAAAAGCGTACTTCGTATGAGAAGTCATTGTTGACCAGTCAATAAGAAAACAGAAAAGAAAACAGTTCTTGTTATATAAAGAAGATTAAAGTAAATTCTGCGATTTTATGGAATTTTTAGTTACGTCATTTTTATTCACTTATGTATTTATTGAAAAAAAAATTAAGAGAGGGTGACAAAAGCATTTTCCACAATTCAACCTTAAAGGATATTACTGTCGTACAAAACAATTAATTTCAATACTATGAGACTTTCAGTTGTTGACAAACTTCCAAATAATTAAGGCGCTAGGCTGCTCAGAGCCGCGTAAAACGTGCAAATAAGGGACAAAGCTTAAGGGATTTAAACTAATTAATAATATTACAAGCAATAAAATACTTTTTAGTTATGACAGACTTAATCGTGATGACAGTGAAAAAAAATAACCGTTCTAATTCAACTTTAACGAATTAATTAATATATAATATGATAGCATCTTTATCAATATAACTAAATAATATACAGTTCAGTAAATTATTAATTATGAATTTTATGTACATGTAGGAATATAAGATAAAAATGGATAGATGGATGGGCCATAAATCAAGGCATGAAGTTCTAATAAACTGAATAATAGTTGAAATCGGATATAATTAGTCCAAAGACCAAATTACAACACCAGAATAATAATTAATTCGTTCTCACAAATTAATTATCCAAAGAGTCAAGGTTAACAGGCTAAGTACAACTAGTGCACCGCGCCACGTCAGAGCCAAGACTACCATCGAATAATCGTGAACGTCTTTTATACAGCTAGTAGTGGGGAGAGTGGGGCATCGAATCACGCGCTCGGTGGCGTGATCGGTGCACGTGTTGGTTATAGTTATGTTTAGTTGGCGCGCTAGTGCCGACATACATATATGAGAAGATTATTATTTTTAATTCCAAATCCAAAGCTTTGCTCTTAATATTTTTATTAAGACTTAATATAAAAATAAGATGGTTTTATATTAAAATAATTTCAACCTTTTATTTTACAAGTCATGGTTTTAAATGTTCTTTTCATTGAATTTTGATCTCCTATAAAAACGTGACTAAAAAATCTTTCCCCCGTAATTCTAAGTGGATAATTCCAAAATAAAGATACAATGAAGGGAAATTTCTTAATTAAATTTGTAAAAAAAGGAAATATACAAAATTTGAAGTCAACATTTATAAAGAAATTGAAAGCTTATGATCACTTTAAAAAGTAAGCTATAAGAATGTCATGTAAATGAAAATTGAAAAATACTTCGTGGACATTTTGTCTGCCTTTTTAACATCTCAGTATTTACTGCTTTGTAATTCTTTTATTATGAACTCTTTTAACGAGCCGTCCAACCGGCATGGATGTGTGAAGCTCGGCCTGGGCAGGCCTCTACTCACTAAAACCACTGCGACAACGATCGGCCGCTATGTCAGTGTATCCCGGATCTGTCAGCGACAGGGCACACCAGCGACTGGCCGGTCCTGGCAAAGACCAGACTTACTCCCTCGGAGAATGGGGGCGATCCCGGCAATTAGAATCACCCCGACGACGCCGGGCTTTCACCGGAGCCGGGTTACCAAGCCGACCCCAACCCGGAGCACAGGGGTGCTATTGGAGTCCTTCTTCTATTGTGAACAATGTTATGGATGCCTATTTCATATTTTGTGTTAAATTCTCACTAATATATGTTCTAAAATAGAGTTAAACTAAAATCAAAAATATTATACTTACTATCAAACTAACATAGCCATGTATTCCGTTGTAGGCTTCGACAACATCTCTGAAGTCTCCATCGCAGTATCCACATGTATCAGTTTTTATGGAAAGATTCAATTTTCTCTGAACATCGCTGACTACTTTGACTAAAATTGAACCCAAGTTCTCACTTCTCCCTCTAGATGCCTGTTCCTGGAGCACTGATAGTATGTGAGACTCATTGATGCTTTTGCTATCCGAAGAGTTACCAGACGCCGCCAATATCTCTTGGAATATATCCAATAAAGTCCGCGATTTGTTTGACATTTCGCAAAAAGTTTTTCACACGTTCAAAATGTGTTCTTGTGCCGACTTATCCATTTCAAATCACTGAAGCAATTCTCTGAAAGACAAAATATTATGTTAGTCCAAATCATTGTTCGTAATGAACTAAGTAGATCACATATTTTCTTTGATATTTGACTCCTTTCATCAATATAACAATTACTTAGATAAAAAATTGGTAGAACTTGATTTATGATACCAAAAGTTTTCAGGAGTATACATGAAAATAAAATAGTGAGTTTTAAATATATGTACTACGTGATTTATTATATTATTTGACAAATAACAAAACTAACTGACTTTCATCTCTTCTGCCCTTGATAACGTTTCTGAAAATAATCGAAATCGGGTAAAATAGAAATTATTGTAATAAATATCGTAGTAGAAACAAAAATCGTAGTTTCTTTCAAACTTGCTATAGTGTATACTTAATAAAAAATATAATTTACGTTATCAATGAGGGCAATAGAAAGTATAAGAAAACAAACATAATGTGATTGCTTTTGGCCAGAAGCCAATTTCATCTCTGAAATATATAGATTTAAACTTTTAATACCGATAAAAAATTATTTCAAGAAGCTGCGCACGTAATTAAATGTTATGGCTTCTCTTAGTTATTTATATACCTAATATTTTATAGTTAAAAATCTTTATACAATTTAAAAGACCTTTGTAAAGCTGGCCATTATAAAGATGAATAAAATTTCATCTTAATGTATAGAATTATATTATACAATGTGATCAAGAACCAATAAAATTCAAGTACCCAGTATATAATGATAAAAAAAAACTTTTACAGTTAAAGTTTACACAACGTTAATTGAAATATGAGTACTCATTAAATTTGACGCATGAAGTTAATGTACTCGTACTCCAGCTTTTATAGCAAAAAAGATAATAAATGTCTCGTAAGATCCTCTTATAGGGAATAGTGATATATGCAATACAAACCAGATGCAATTCAGAATGGCAAGATGATGACAAATAGTTAATTACATTTGAGATAGTAAACTGTTCCATATTTATATATTGTGCTCTTAATATAAATGTCTGTGGGAAAATGATACAATTACACTCATCAACTTATAAATTATGAATGATCTCGTTGAAAATAATGGCTTACTATAGTTTTAATTATAACCTTAAATTACGTTTGTTAATATGTAAAAGATTTACAAGGAATCATATCTTAAAATTCATTGAAATTGTTATGAGTGTCTAAACCTTTCTCGTCGAGCGTCTTTAATTAGAAGATAAGATAAGATTATTATTTAAGTTATAAAATATCTTACAGCTTCATTTTCTATTGAATGTTATGAATTTTCTTTTTCCGTTTGGAAATCTTCATCCACAGTGCTTTAATGGAAATAACGATCAGTGGAAAGAATTTGAAGACGCTTTAATTCAATCCAGTGATTGCTGCATGCTTCGAGTGGCTATTGTCCAGCGAAACGCGAAGTCTAGTTTATTGCCTTTTATCCGTAGTTCATTATCCAAATGACCGCGTGGAATTTTATGACAAACTAAGGACTTGACATACCTCGAAAAATATGATTGTCACAGCATCCAATGCAAACAGACGTTAACTTTATGTAGAATTTGATAATAATCAATCGTTTAAATTTCAAATAAATAATGTATAAGTTACTGTCGGCTAATTTGTGTTTCTTTTTATTTATCTATAGATATAAAACGTTTCTTCATAAATATTTGATTTCATAAGAGTGGAAAGTTTATTATGAATTTTCATTATGTGAATAAAAACAGTATTTTTTTTTAACTTATCAATTATTTTTATTCCATAGTGCTGTAACATGAAATTGTTACTATAGCTGATATCACGTAGGTTTAGTCTCTTAAAATATAATTATTTTTAAAGTATTTTATATATATATATTTTTAAGGTAAATTTCATTTAGAAGCTATCGAAAATTAATATTTTTACCTAACTCATTCTCATATTAGTGAAAATGAACTCGAAAAATGTTTCTCCAAAATTTTTTAATTCTGAATGTTAAACTCGACGTAATCGGGTAATTATTTTTATTACTATTTGAAGCACAAAATTATCAGCATTATATTTAAAATGCAGCAACGGTAACAGACCGAAAGTGTTCAACTGTTTGTGGCTATTCGTTAATTCTTTTGGACCAATTCCCTACTGACCATAGCGAAACTTAATACCGCCATTAGTCCATACGACCTCATTATGCCATACTTTCACAACATGTTAATGGATATATCAGTTATAACTGGGTTATCAAAGGTATTGTGGTCATTTATCACGGCGAGATCTTAAGGAATATGATGACATGACAAATATTAGTGATAGTTATCCATCACTAAGAAAAACATGCTGTCATTTTAATCATTTAATATAGAAACGTTCCATAAATAATTTTGGGTCATAAAAATGTTTAATACTCTGCAGTCATTGAAATACTTGAATATTTAGTATTGGATTTAAAAATTTTCCAAAAAAAGAAGGAAATTATATATATTATTAACTAGGTTTCCGCCCGCGGCTTCGCCCGCTTGGAGTTCGGTTATATCGCGTTTCCAAGAGAACCTTTTCAAAAGTCTGCGATAAAAACTATTCTATGTTCTTTCTCAAGGTCAATTCTATCTTTGTACCAAATTTCATTAAAATCAGGTCAGTGGTTTAGGCGTGAAAGCGTGACAGACAGACAGACAGAGTTACTTTCACATTTATAATATTAGTAATACTTTCAAGTAATGTGGCGTTGAATTAGAGTAATGTCCAGTACATTACAGCCAAAGTAACACCAGTGAACATGAGTTAACTTTGATGCCTTTTAATATATATTATGGTTTGCAAAAAATAATTAAAAAAATATAGAAAAGAAAGCTTATTTATAAGACTATATTAATTAATTAGTTTTACTCCATAACTTTCATGTGAAGGGGTTTTGAGACGGCCTTGTACTTTCCCACTGTGCGGCGACCGACAGCAGCGGCGGCGATGCAGATTACATATTCGTTTAAAGGAACTTTAACTTCAAAAGCCAATTTTTTAACTTGATACACCTAAAACTTCTAAATATGATGTTCCTAGGTTCAGTGGTTAAAATTTTGTATACAAAAAGATTAGCTTCGTAGTTCCTGTTCCGTTCTGTTCGAATTTCGGGAATTCCATGTGTAGAATTTCACCCCCTCGGTGGTAAAAATAACAAACGATTTTAAATTTCAAAAACGCTAGAACAAATGTTTAAATATATCTTATCAAGTGCTTAAATAAAAATTTTCATGATAATATCTATTAAAATTAAGAAATTCCATACAAAATTTTCAACCCTTATTTCACCTCCTCACTGGTCGAAATTTCAAAAACGCTAAAACAAATGTTTAAATATATCTTATCTAATGCCTTAATATAGAGTTTCATGGTTTTATCTTTTAAAATTAAGAAATCCCATACAAACTTTCAACCTCTTCATCCCCTTTTTCGCAATAAAGGGTAGCCTATGTTTTTTCTCAGGGTCTAAAGATTTTCTGTGCCAAATTTCATCAAAATCGGTTGAGAGGTTAAAGCGGGAAAGCGTAACAGACATGTGTGTCTGTCTGCGAAAGTAAGTCTGTCTGTCTGTCGACAGACAGACTTACTTTCGCATTTATAATATTAGTTGTGATTGACTCGCCCCTCGAACCCCAGTGACGCTTACATGGAGCCTACATCGCATGCTGGCTAGCTGAGCGCGATGAGCGGCAACCACGCGACTTTTTTCTAATACTTGCATTATAAACTCGTGATATCTTCCGAATGAAATGTCCGAATTGAATAATTCAAAGAGTTATAAAAAGGTATTGAAGCCGTCTTGAATGTAAAGTATGTAATTTATTTTGATAAGGATTAATACCAAGGTACAAATAAAGAGCCTTTTCAAGCGGCGGCATAGAAATTAAATTTTTAGAATAAAAAACCGCTTACTGTGACATAACTATAATATTTAGACATATGCTGTCGAGACATTTTTTGTAGATGATGATAAGTTCTGCAAAGTCGTGGTAAATCATTTGGTTCTATCATCAATAGTTTTAGCAGCGCACGCGATGTAAGGAATTTTTCAGATCATTTTTTTACTCCTTGGTTTACATTATTGGAGTTTTAGTAAGGATCCCTAATTTTAAAAAAAATATAATATAAAGTATATTACTCGGGAATAATGTAGCTTTCCAAAGGTGAAAGAATTTTTGAAATCGGTTCAGTAGTTTCGGAGCCTATTCATAACAAATAAACAAACAAATCTTTCCTCTTTATTAATATAGATAGATAGATAAAGATATATCTTCTTCTTCTACCTGGCAATTTTCCCAGCTATAGCTAGGGTCTGCCTTACATATTGTGAATAGTTTTTTGGCTATGTATTTGTTATTACGACCGGCCCGCCTGCCTGACATCAACCCTCTTTTGGGAATCAACATTAATCAGTGATGTCTAAATACTCTTAGAAAGTACATATGATTCGGAAAAATCACATTGGTACTTGCCCGGGCCAGGATCGAACCCTCGCCTGCAGCGACGAGAGGCGGGCCCTATAACCACTGAGCCACCACTGACTTTCTTCACTTTGATAAAGATATATATCTTATTTAATATACATTTTTTTAGTAAACAATTTTTAATTTCAAAGCACGTACTGTGTTGCAAATTAACTTAGTAATACATATTTTTTGTATAGAATGTAATATATTTATAAGAAGCTCTGAAGCATTTTCTTATTATGATATAATCATTAATCATATAGAAATAAGTAAAATTAACGACCTTTTAAAACTTAAGGACTTGAAAATTAAAAAATAAAGCATTCCATTTTATCAAATACTCGTAGAAGCAGTTACCTAGCTTATACAATTGGATCTGAATTGGATTTTTACCCTCCTAATCATAAGGCATAAAGGTGATTGGAACATTTACTAAAGAGGATTATTTTATCATTGTCACATACTAAATATCATAATGG